TGACAACGTCCCCTTGTGCCCAGCTGCCAGCTCTATGGTGAGCTCAGAGGACCCTCAGGAAGGGCAAGGTGACAAGGTCCCTCCCAGGAGAGGGGGAAGGGCTGAGAAGGGGGCCTTTGCCCTGCTTACCCCAGGGCAGGTCTAGGATCAGATACGGGACTGCCGGGACTGCAATGGGGCAGGGGCAGGGTACTTCCTGTTGGCTCCTTCCTCCCTCATGGCCATTGGGAACTCTAAATGAGAGTCAGAGCCTTTTCTATGGACCCTCATTATTTCTCTGGCCCCTCATTTCTGAAGTCACCTGGTGTGGGAGGTGAGGGAGACCATGTGGCCCCGGACCAAGTTAATTTTGTGAGCTCGCCCTGACTCTTCTTTTTGACCTGTGTCTATCTTCTGGCAGTTTTCTTTCTGGCCATAAGGAATAGGGACACGCGCGCGCGCACACACACACACACACACACACACACACACACACCCCTTTTCAGAAACCAGATGGAAGATGTAAGGGGCCATCTAGAAGACTCTCCTTCCCATGCAGGAACATACTCTCTAGCATTTTTGAAAGGCAGTGTTGAACCTTTCCAATGATGGGGAGCTCACCCTCTCACAAAGAACATCTCTTCTTCTTGGACCACTCTAGATGTTAGGAAGTCATCTCCCTCCATTTGGGCTCCCCATTGTTTCCTGGATCCTCTTCCTATTGTTTTGAATTGATCAAACTCTCGGCCAAACCCTTCTGCATCCATCACACATATAGAAGCCCCAAGGCCTGTTTTGATGTGTCCCTTAGGCTTATTCTGCAGGTAACTCTGTTCTTTGGCCTGTCCTCTGAGGCCTCATCCTCCTCTCTCACTCCCTGTTATCGTTTAGATATGAGGTGTCCCCCCAAAAAACTAATGTGTTAGACAATGCAGGGATGTTCCGAGATGAAATGTTTAGATTATGAGAGCTGTAACCTACAGTGGATTAATCCATTTGATGGGCTAATAATTTGAATGAACGAGCTGGGTAGTAATTATTGGCAGGTAGGAGGAAGGTGGCTGGGAGAGTTCCCTTAAACTCTGTCTGTTCCTGGATCCCTTCTTGCCTGCCCCACTCCCTTTCCCAGTTGCTAAGAGCTGAGCAGCTCTCCTCTACCACATCCTTCCGCCATGATGTTCTGTATTACCTTGGACCCAGAGTAGTGGAATTGGCCCATCATGGGCTGAACCTCTGAAGCTTTAAGAGTCCAAAATAAGTTTCTTCTCTTCTAAGGTGTTCTTATCAGTTATTTTGGTCACAGTAATGAAAAGCTGATTAACACACCCCCTTTTCCTTTCGCTGGAGGTCCTATGTCATCAGAACCCCAACATCTTGGGCCTGATGAAACAGACCCCACCTGCTGGGGCTCCCTGAAGTTTCCACCTGGCTGGGGCTAGGAGGCTTTATTCCTATGAAGATTTCAGAAGCAGCAGAGGTTGGGGGTTGCTGTGCCCCCTTCTCCATCTTCACCTTCTTCCCTTCGTGGATACTCCCACCCCCCATCCCCAGAATGAGCTTCACACAATTCCAGGAGGCCAAGGTATTGGAGTCCTATGGCCTCGTGTTCCTGCTCTGGGCGGTGCTTGTCCCTGAGCTTAAGGGGAGCCAGGGAACATGCTGACTTCACTAGAAGATTCAAGGGAAAGGCAGGTCATTTACCTGATAAGTAGTTTAAGTCATTTTTTGAAAGACATTATTTTTATATTAAGATAAATGCAAATGCTATGTCGTAGAGTGGAGAGGCCTGGATTTCAAAACCACAACAGGAGCAGGACCCGCCAGGAAGGCGGCTTCTGGCTATTTCATTAAACTTTAGCTTCCAGTCCCTCAACCAGCTGGGCCCCTTTGCTGAGGGGCATTTGGGTGGAGAATTCGGGAAAGTTCATTTGGTTCAAGAGGTCGGGAAAGCGAGGCGCAGAGGAGGGGAGTGGTTAGTCTAAGGGTACACAACTCAGAAGAGTCAGGACTCAAAATCCAGACCTGTCCTCGTCCCTGTACCAAGAAATGCCGCATATGAAATGTCCACCACGGGGAGAGAGGGAATGAAAACAGAAGGGGCTCATAGTTAAAGTCCTCAGTTATCCAGAAAATGCTCCACGTCGAGTTGACCCCATCTAATGACAAATACATTTCCTTACCGCCTTCAGGATCTAGCATCCTCTGGTCGGAAAGAAGCTCAGGTGAGAAAAGGGAAAGAAGCCGACTCCACACCTGGGAATGAGGGAGACACCAACATGGCAGGGAGGTCAGCTGGAGGCCACTCGGGCACCGAGCCAGGCAACTGGTAGAACTGGCTGTAGGACCACAGTCAGCAGCCAGGACTTTCCCTTGCTCACACCCATAGGCTGCACCTGGGCATGAGTGTGCGTGCATGCACACACACACCCCTAGTGCTTGGGCTCACAGATACCTGAACACTTATGATCTAAGGGTGCTGCCCAAAGCTGAAATGTGGGAGAGGATGGAGAGCAGAGCTCCGGTCTCCCGCGTCCCCCCAAGCACCCAGATACCTGAAATGAGAATCCGAAGGGGGATAACAGACTTCCCCAGGAAGTGAGGCAAGCAGAGCTTGTGTTTCCTCAAACACTGTCCTTCAAATGATTAAATAAGGGTCAAAGGTTTATGTTTCTGTAAAGGTGTCTTGGACACTATTCTAAGTGTGGGACACTCAGTAGCCTAAACCTTAAGCACTGAACATCTACAGATTGGCTCGTTGTCCCTTGAACTTCCCACAGTCACATCTCACAGAAGTGCGACCCCCAAGAATGATTTAATCAAGTCAATGAATACTGTTTAATAAATAGGCCAGAAAATTAGCTGAGAGTTTGCTTGGTAGGATGCAGCGTGCGACCAAAGTTATGGAAGATTGTCCCTTGAATCACTAAGGCAAACTTTTGCTGAGTGTCATTTTACATAGAGCAGTCACATAAAAAGAGTTATAAATAGAAAAATTTCCAAAGTTCTCCCACAGACAGAGAAATCAGAAACATTAAAAAAAAAAATTGAAACAAACAAAACACATCCAACCCTCCCCCCCCCACGACCCATTTGCTTCAAGTTCTTGATCATACAGTACTCGACATCTTTGGATATTTTACAATATACAACTCCAAACTGCAGCCAAGAAAAAACAGAAAGAACTAACCAGTCATCTGAAAAATTGAGTTTATAAGAAGTCATTACCTTTACAAAGTAAAAACAAAAGCCCCAACACCACCAGATTCCAATTTGTTCTTTTTTTTTTTTTTTTTTTTTTTAAGTTTGGTTCGGTCCCAGTCCCTTGGCTGATGGGAGGCATGAGCCGTGTTGGCTGGCAGGTCCCAGACAGAAGCATTGGAAATGGAGCCTGGAATCCCAGGTAGAGGACGGCAGGGGAGATAGGGGCAGGGTATGAGGCCATTCTGCCTGGCTGGAATGGCGGCTGGTGGCACAGGGAGGAATCTGGGAGTCTCTTCTGGGGAGCTGGGAGAGGGACAGAGTCTGTGGTCTTCTCTGGCCTTTTTGTTATTTGTTCAGGAAAAAGCCAAGGCGATAGGAAGAGCCAAGTCTCTTGCAACCACAGCTCAGGGACTGGGGGCTCCAGCCCTGGGCCCGCTGGGCGGATGCACTGTCCTCTCTGGGCTACTGAGAAACCAAAGCAAACTCAGCAAGAAAAAGAAGGGAGGAAAAGGAGAGAGCAGTCAGGAAGGCACTGGGCCAGCAGAGCTGTCTTCCTTCTCAGGATCTGCCACCAACCCCAGAGCCAGGACAGGATGGGACATCCTAACTATGGGACATCCTTCAGGCCCCAAAGGCTACTGCCTTCTACCTTGAGCTCTTTTCTCAAAATGGGGATGGGGTCCAATATGGCAGCTTCATCCAGGAGGGTGGAGGAAGGGAGTGAGGGGCTCAAGCACAGCAAAGGGGCCATCACCAGCAACAGCAAGGCCCAGAGAGCCCCCAACTCGAGAAGCAAAGAGATGACCCCTGGGTAACTATGCGCTTTGTGTCTCTAGGAGTCAGGGTGAAGGTAGGCAGCTGCTAGGTGTTGAAAGCCGGCCCTAGCCCTTCAGTTGGCCCCACAGGTCCCAAGAGATTCTGTACAGCCTTGGAGAGGGCATGTGGGGTGGGATAATGCTGACTGGTGTTCCCAGGGGTCCAGACACTAACAGTGGCCTGTAGGGAAGTAGGGAAATGTGAGCCCCCAGGGCTGCCTGTGGACAAGCAGTGAATCCGGCCCCACCTCTCTCTCATTCCCATCTAGTTGGGCCACATTTCTCACCTATGCTAACAGTGCTAAGATTGAAGTGGAGGTGATAATACTAAGTCCAGTAAGAGAAGCGGTTTCCCCAGGGACTTTGGGATGCAAGCCTTCTACAGTCTCAAGGATTCTCGTTGGAAGGTTGGCGTGTATGAGTGTGGAGGTCAGGGAAGAGGACACTAAATTACCAACCCCTTTCATAGCAGGTGACACCGAGGCACAGAGGGTTGACCTGTCCAAGGTCACAGGATAGGGAAGAAAAAAAAAATGGGCCCAGACTCCAGTGGCCTGGCTCCTGGCTCTAGGAGGCCTCCTTGCCAGTAAGGCATTTCATTCTGGGTGGCAGGCAGGCATTTCTCTAAAGGATCCCAGGATGGCTAGAGACCAGGATACCATCCTCAGAGCAGGGCTGGGAGGGACCCCCCATAAGGCAGTGGGGACCCAAGCAAGATGTGTGCCCAGGACACTGCCCTCATTCCTGCCCACCTGGCCTGCCTTCCCACCAAGCAATCCCCTCCTTGTAGCTCTACCTGCTTCCAAAGTGTTCCTATGCACCCAGCCATGTGGCCCTCCTCTGTGGCATGGGCCCCTGTGAGTTTCTGTGCAAGACAGAGAAATAGCCAAGGAGAGGAGGCCCTGCTTCAGGATCCCTGGGAGGAGATGCCCATCTTAGACACCAGCAAAAGGGAGGTGGCTGCCTTGGAGGCCTGGAAATACAATCCTGCTAGTGTGTATTTTCTCATTTTCCCTTTGTGTTTGTGAAATAAAGGTTCAGACCCACTGGGTGGGGCAGGCTGGGCCTGCTGGGAGAGGGGACAGGGCTGGCCAGCTGGGGTTGACCAAGGCCAGCCTAGTTGTTGGCTTCTGAGATGGAGGCCACGTGGTTGAGGCCAGCGAGCCCTGGGAGGCCGGCCAGGCCCGCGGCCCAGGGGTCCGGCAGCGGGAAATAGGGCCGCGCGGCGGCCACGTTCTCGGCCAGCGCCAAGGCCAGGAGGCCGCCCGCGTTCCTCTCGGCCTCCAGCTGCGCGCGCCCGAACAGCTTCATCTGCGTCTCCTCGAACTGCCGCTCCAGCTCCTGCAGGCTCAGCGCGCCCTTGGGTGCCGCCAGGAAGTGCTTGGTGGGGCTGGGGCCCGGGAGGCACACGGCGGCGCCGCCCAGGTGGCCGCCCACCTCGCCCAGCGCAGGTGGCATCACGAAGGCCGCCTTTTCGGGCGCTGGGCCACCAGGGCCAAAGAGCAGGCTGGCGGCCCTCCAGGCGGCGGGTTTGCGGCCGCGCCGGGGCCGGGCCATGCGGCAGCTCTGGCGCTTGATGTGGCGGTGCAGGTGGTCGGAGCGCGTGAAGCTCTTGTAGCAGAACTCGCACTGGTAGGGCCGCACGCCCGTGTGGATGCGCATGTGGTTCTTGAGGTCGTAGTTGTGCACAAACTTGGCGTTGCAGTGAATGCACAGGTAGGGCCGCTCCCCTGTGTGCTTCCGCATGTGGATCTTCAGCTTGTCCTGCCTGCAATGCAGAAGCCGGGAGTCAGTCTCTGCTAGGAACACTCTTCAAGGCCCCTGACTCGCCCTTCTTCCAGAACCATCTAAGGCTCCCTATTGTCCTAGTGTCATAAAGCCCAGGAGTGGTGCACATGCTATGATCTACCTTCAACTAAGGCCACAAACTTCTGCCCCACTCCAAACACGTGTGGCTCCTCACCTGGATTAGAGGGATAGGGAAGGATCAGTGTCCTGTTAGACGCCCCTCCCAACTCCCTTTACACACCAGTACAGGTAATGAATCACTCCACTGTTTATCAAAGGCCTGTCTTACATACGGGAAAATAGATTTGCTGGGGAAGATTTGTACCCCCCAAATCAGCATCTGGGCCTATCCCTCTGCTGTGCAGCAACTGCTCCCGATAATGGGTTGTACTTTAATCTCACACCCACTCTTTCCAAGCAACAGCCTTCCTTCTGGGCTCATCCTTGTACTTCTGTGGTTGGGTCTCTGTCCCATCCCAGCCCACAGGCTGTTGAGATCTGTTTGTCCTCAGCACTAATCTGCAGGCTCTAGAGGCCCGGCACACCTTGCTCAAGCCTCCTGCACTGTGGTTTCTTATCCTAAGCCCTGAGCTCTCTCCTCTTTGTCTGCAGACAATTTCAGGGTTTACAAAAGAGCCAGGTGCAGCAGGAATGCAGCCTAATCTTGGGCGAAGCTTTCTGGGATTTAGGAGTATTATTCAGAGGTAAGGCATGGCCTAGGTGGGGCTCCCATGGGGGTCTGGGAGCTCCTGCTCTATCCGCAGACCCTCACCAGTTTGCTGGGTGATCTTAAACAAGTTATGTAACTTCTTGGCACAGAGCAGAATTTAGGGCCAGACATCACTCCCCATTGTCTGGAGCCCATGAAGAGCCTGGGTTTGTGTGAGCTACAGTCAACACACCTCCTGGTGGTCTTGAAAGGAAAACTGGCATCCTGGGATTGTTTTCCTAAGGTCTGAGAGCTCAGCACAGCCTGGCCAAGGTGGAGGCAGCCGGGCGGGCGGGCGGCAGGAAGTCCTCTCAGGATTATTTTGTATTTTCCCCAGATGGCCAGGAGGCCAGGCAGCCTGCATATGGTTTCCCACCTCCTTCCCGCAGGTGTGGCTTGGGTGGAGTCTCTGCCTGTAATTTTAGGCTCAGCTTTGAGGTCAGAGCAGATGTAGATCCTAAGTATCCTCCCTAAAATGGCCAGATTTAAATCACCCTTGGTATAACCCCAGGATATAGCAGGAACTGCCTTGGTGTTCTGTGGCCACTAGAGGTCTCACTGGCTCTCATTAAAAAAAAAAAAAATGTTCCCGAGGGATGGAGTAGGAGAGGAGAGAATCTTGTGAACACTGGTGGTGGGAGGTGGACCAGAGAGCGGACTCTCCCTCCTGTGCTCACTGGAGGGCTGGAGGGCTTCTGGGAGGTGGGAAGGGAGAGTGCATAGTGGGTAGGGAGAGAAGGGGGAGGAAGAGGGCTTACTGATTGAAACAGGTTCTCCTCCACATACCAGACCCTCTTTTCTCCCATAACCTACCAGCCTTCCCTGCTGTGATTGCTGCAATACCCCTGCCCACCCCAGCTGCTCACCACCCTGGTGGTAACTGTAATGCAGACCATTGGAGATCTGAGCAGAAAGGGGGCCTTTAAGGGCATCCAAGTTTGTGGGTCCCAAACTTGAGTGTTGCCTGAGAACAAGTATCAAGACTTGATATGGCAGAGTGCTGGGTGCCTCCCACAGCTCCTGATTCAGTTCTGGGGTGGACGAGGAGCAGAGCGTTTGCATTTCTAACAAGTTGCCCGATGCTGCTGTGGCTGCTGGTGGTCCACAGACCCCACACTGAGAATCACTGGCCCCAGTAAATCCTTCACTCTGTAGGTGGCACACTGAGGCCCAGGGAGGGAAACTGGCTGAGATCACCAGAGGGTAATGGTGGAGCTGAGACTAGAACTCAGGCCTAGGAGCCAGGGCCGTTTTTCTCACCACATCTCTGTGAACTGTGCAAAAACGTAGAGATGTGGGGGGCAGAGTGCCATTTCTATCCCATAGTGTGCTTTCATTGTACTCTACAAATTCACCAAGGCTCTGATGGCCACATGGATGGTGGACTAGCAGGCTCACTTACTGGCTCACTCCCTCACCAGGCCTGGCAGAGGGCTCCACTCAGAACCATCAGTCACCTCATTTAGTCCTTACCCCAGCATTAGGATATGTGTGTATATGTATGCACATATCCTAATATACACACAAATGTGTGTGTGTATATGTTTTTTTTTTGTGTGTGTGTGTGGGGGGGTACCAGGAACTGAACAAAGGGGCACTCAACCACTGAGTCACATCCCCAGCCCTATTTTGTATTTTATTTAGAAACAGGGTCTCACTGAGTTGCTTAGTACCTTGCTTTGGCTGAGGCTGGCTTTGAACTTGTGATCCTCCTGCCTCAGCCTCCTGAGCCACTGGGATTACAAGTGTGTACCACCATGCCCAGCCTATATATGTGTATTTTAAAATCACTGTTACACACAGTTCCTAGTATTGATTGTTTGGGTAACTCTCAAACAATAGATGATGTGAATGGTGAATCTTCAAATGTCTAGGGCCTCCCTGTAAATATCTACAACTTCTCTCAAACTTTCATTAGGGCATCTAAAATAAATCAGTGTCAATGGAGGGCATCTTGATGACCCTTTGTTGAGTACTTGCTCTGGGCAGGTGAATGCACTATGTTAAAGACCCTGGAAAGGTTGCTATTTGGAGGCAAATATTTTCACCATAAGGACTCCTGGCCTGCAGCCTACGAGGGCTGGTCAGAAAGTACAGACTGCAACCATTGAAATAGGGCAGGGCGGGTGAGAGGAACCCCTCCCTGGGCAGAGCTGTCTTCCCCAGATGGAGAGTCCAGAGAGCTGGGTGAGGGGTGCAGAGAGCTGGCAGAGCTTAGGACAAGCTAGTCCTGGAAAAAATGCTAGAGATCATGGAGCTCACCAGGAGCACTGTCCCCATACTCAGATTTAGTGTCTGAGTCCCAGGGTCCAGGCACCTATGTCATCAGCAGTGCACTTCCCAGGACCCTGAAAAGGTCCCAGAACTTTGAAAAAGTTCCCAGAACCTGATGGAGTCCAACTCCCTTACTTCCAAGATAAGCAAGGACCAGATGGGGAATGGCATTCTAAGGTCACACAATCTCCTTCTTCATGTGATGACCTTTCCACGTGGATGTCATGACAGGTGGGTTGGCAGAGCTTGGTCTGGGTCAGGAGTGCCCCAAAGAGCCAGACCAGGTTCACTGCCTTGGACCTGTTCCCTGACCTGTAAAGTGGGAGCCGGTCTGTACCATTTAACCTCTGGTGTTCCAAGAGTGTTTGCATTTGGGTAATGGGGATTTGAGGAATCTCTTTCCCATCCTGTTTTGTCTGGTTGGCTCCATGCACGAAGCTCTTCTATTCTTGCTTCTCTGTGAATTTGGCCTGTTTACGAGCAGTGTGAGTTCTGCTGGGATATGCTCAAGTAAGGGACTCAGGCAGTGAGTGGGCTCTTAGTTATCTCTTCCTGGGGTCTGATTTAAAGGTCCCAGTCTCCCACTGGCCTTGTGCTAACTTATCCCTTAGCTTGGAGTTGAAAGCTCTTTTAAACTCTCTCTGCTCCGCTTTGCAGCATCCCCCACCCCAGCACTGAACCTACGTGCTGCATGGATTATGCTGTTCTCTCAGGCCACACTCTAGCCAAGCTTGCATCTTGGAACACCTGCCTGCAGAACTGGACTGTTGATCCCCCAGTACAGAGCCAGCCACAGGATGGAGGCTCTTATAAACCCTGGCTCCTTTCCCTGGGGCCTATCTGGTGTTTGCACACTGATACTCCATCCTGGGGGCTCTCCCAGAAGGTCAAGGCCAGGTATCAGTGTGCTCCTTCCTTCCCAGCCCTAAACCCCCTGTTTCAGCCCTCTACCACCCTGCACCCAATTCCTTCATCTCCTAGTTTACTCTTGCAAACTGCCCTGCTGGATGCCTCATGCTCCAAATCCCCCTAATGCTTTAAGGTCAAACTCAAGTGTAGTTCTATGCTGTCCACCCAGGGCTGTTGCTCAGCTCCCTGATTTTCCATTCATCTGTTGCCTAAGCATTGCCCTTTGAGTCAGGTTACCTGAGGGACAAAGTGGGAGCAACTAGAAAAGATGAGGTGGCAGTGGCTCTTCTTCTGTCCCCTGGTAGTCTCATATGTGTCAGCATTGCCCTCCCAGTGGGTCAAGAGCCAAGGAGGACCAATACGTCACACATGCATTGCCTGAGGCCCTGCTCCAACCTCCAGCACTCCTGATAGATGAGAACACCTGTCCAGAGGCTGTCTTGGCAAGGCCTGCCTTTACCTTGCATGTGTGTGCTGTTTCCAGGACAAGGGCCACTGTGTGGCTGACTCCTTGCATGCACACACTGCTCATCCCTGCCCCTCCCCACCAGAACCAGAAGCAGCAAGTGATACAAATTCTAGCAAATGCAAAAAGCTCCAAACCTCACGGACATTCCCCTTAGTACTGATTGTCGCATGGCTCAGGTGCTTGCTTTGGCCGTGAAGGCCAAATGGAATCAGGAAACTGGGAGTGACCTTAGGGGGCATCTATCTACCCCCATAAGTTTCACCTGGGAACCTGAGGCTGAGAGAGGGTGACAGAGTTAGCAGAAGCAGAACCAGGCCCTGAACCTGGGCCTCCTGATGACCACTCTGGTGCTCTTTCCAAAGTCCCACAATCCACTGAGAGATACTGGGCCCTGTGTGCATGTATTCATTCAGTGACAGTTACTCTGCATGGTGCTTCCTGCAGCCTTCACCCAGCACCTGGTAAGGAGGGTGCTGGAACCCGCTTTGAGAAGCACTTGTTGGGTGCTCTTTTGTATGTCACAAGGTGCCCAACACTGAGCATAGGCACAGTGAGTGCCAGTTACATGTGTGTTGATGACCAGTGACCAGCAGGGCTGATTCCAGAACTCCCCAGCCCT